CCACGACCAGGACCCCGTCGGCCTCGACCCGGACCCCGTCGGCCACGACCAGGACCCCGTCGGCCACGACCAACAAACCTAGACATGTTTTGATCACTATCAACATATCACGAAGGTAAGTGTTGACGAAACATTCGAACTGAAGCTCCTAATATAGGCAGACGTGCTAATGTATTGGCTCCTTTTATTTGTATGTTGTTTGACAAGAGAGCAGTGTTTGTTGACTGTCCTCCAGACATGTATGTTTATGGTGAATATAGATTTGTTGTCCTGCGTAGAGCCACCTGCAGGTCTCGGGTGTGTGAGTTGATGCCTAAGATGGCACTCCAGATCCGAATTCTTGTCAGTTCAGAGATTCCCTAGTTGGTCCTGCCTATCAAATCATCTTCACTGGCGTCGTGGTCATGATGCCCCCCCTGCTGTAGTAGTGGTCATACTTGATATTCCACCAGCAGTTGTCAGCAATGTGTGTTTTATGATAGCGGTCATACTTTTTCCCCAGGCGGGGACGTGAGGTAGTCTGCTCACTCCTTGTACTTTGCCAACGATTCTCTGACGGTCTCTGAGCGTCTCCTTCAGCTGCCCTGAAGCTGGTGGTACAGGACACCCTGCTGAAGGTAACAGGTGTTTTGTGGGGGTCATGAGGTATGTGTAGTAAGGAGGGAGTCCTGGTGGCTTACGTGGTGTGAGGAGGGAGTCCTGGTGGCTTACGTGGTGTGAGGAGGGAGTCCTGGTGGCTTACGTGGTGTGAGGAGGGAGTCCTGGTGGCTTACGTGGTGTGAGGAGGGAGTCCTGGTGGCTTACGTGGTGTGAGGAGGGAGTCCTGGTGGCTTACGTGGTGTGAGGAGGGAGTCCTGGTGGCTTATGTGCTGTGAGGAGGGAGTCCTGATGGCTTATGTGCTGTGAGGAGGGAGTCATGATGGCTTACGTGCTGTGAGGAGGGAGTCCTGGTGGCTTACGTGGTGTAAGGAGGGAGTCCAGGTGGCTTACGGGGTGTGAGGAGGGAGTCATGATGGCTTACGTGCTGTGAGGAGGGAGTCCTGGTGGCTTACGTGGTGTGAGGAGGGAGTCATGATGGCTTACGTGGTGTGAGGAGGGAGTCCTGGTGGCTTACGTGGTGTGAGGAGGGAGTCATGATGGCTTACGTGCTGTAAGGAGGGAGTCCTGGTGGCTTACGTGGTGTGAGGAGGGAGTCCTGGTGGCTTACGTGCTGTGAGGAGGGAGTCCTGGTGGCTTACGGGGTGTGAGGAGGGAGTCCTGGTGGCTTACGGGGTGTGAGGAGGGAGTCCTGGTGGCTTACGGGGTGTGAGGAGGGAGTCGTGGTGGCTTACGTGGTGTGAGTTATCAGACAATGGGTGCAACTAGCTGGAGCAGGACCTTGAGGACTTACGGATAGGTTTCAGGAGCAGCAATACATCGTGTTGAAAAGGTTTAAAGGTAAGGTTGCATACAATTAAAGTCAATGCCTGTGAGTGTGAAAATTCCTCCCAACCCCGTCTGAACATAAATGTTGTAAATTATTTATGCTTAAGATCAGCCATGCAACCCAGAAAACCCCTCACCGTGCATCCTCTTACCCCACAACCCCTCCCCACCCTGTTGCCGTCCCTCCCCCACACTACACAGTGTTCTCCCCCACACTACACAGCGTCCCTCCCCCACACTACACAGCGTCCCTCCCCCACACTACACAGCGTCCCTCCTCCACACTACACAGCGTCCCTCCCCCACACTACACAGCGTCCCTCCCCCACACTACACAGCGTCCCTCCCCCACACTACACAGCGTCCCTCCTCCACACTACACAGCGTCCCTCCCCCACACTACACAGCGTCCCTCCTCCACACTACACAGCGTCCCTCCCCCACACTACACAGCGTCCCTCCCCCACACTACACAGCGTCCCTCCCCCACACTACACAGCGTCCCTCCCCCACACCACACAGCGTCCCTCCCCCACACTACACAGCGTCCCTCCCCCACACCACACAGCGTCCCGCCCCCACACCACACAGCGACCCTCCCCCACACCACACAGCGACCCTCCCCCACACTACACAGCGTCTCTCCCCCACACCACACAGCGTCTCTCCCCCACACCACACAGCGACCCTCCCCCACACCACACAGCGACCCTCCCCCACACCACACAGCGTCCCTCCCCCACACCACACAGGTGCCAGGAGTCGAGTAAGGGGCAGCTATTCTTCCCCAAGCTTGTGTTTACCGTGTGCGCTGGTCTGCCTCTGCACGAAGCCTTTCAGATTAAGTACACAACTTGAGTAGATACTGAACAGGCAACTGCTGGTATTTATACAAGCCCACAGCTGGTCTATGTACAAGCACACAGCTGGTTCATGTATATATGACATATGTAGTCACACAGAAGGTACAAAAGCACAGTTGACATAAAAGCAAATGCAGCTGGCCTGAATACAGACACTCAGCTGGCGTCAATACTTGAATACAGCTGGCCTGCAGCTCGCGTGAGCACAAGGGCATGGCTGACCTGGAGTGAGCACGATTACAGGAGCTGGAGTGAGCACGACTACAGGAGCTGGAGTGAGCACGACTACAGGAGCTGGAGTGAGCACGACTACAGGAGCTGGAGTGAGCACGACTACAGGAGCTGGAGTGAGCACGACTACAGGAGCTGGAGTGAGCACGACTACAGCAGCTGGAGAGAGCACGACTACAGCAGCTGGAGTGAGCACGACTACAGGAGCTGGAGTGAGCACGACTACAGGAGCTGGAGTGAGCACGACTACAGGAGCTGGAGTGAGCACGACTACAGGAGCTGGAGTGAGCACGACTACAGGAGCTGGAGTGAGCACGACTACAGCAGCTGGAGAGAGCACGACTACAGCAGCTAGAGAGAGCACGACTACAGCAGCTAGAGAGAGCACGACTACAGGAGCTAGAGAGAGCACGACTACAGCAGCTGGAGTGAGCACGACTACAGGAGCTAGAGTGAGCACGACTACAGCAGCTGGAGTGAGCACGACTACAGGAGCTGGAGTGAGCACGACTACAGCAGCTGGAGAGAGCACGACTACAGGAGCTGGAGAGAGCACGGGGGCTGGTATGGGTACGGGCGGCACCATTATAATATCCCAGGACGCGGGTGGCTCCTGTACTTGAGAAAATGGCGCTGATGCTGGTGGAATGTGCGACGTCTCCTCTCCATTATTGAGGCAATACTTGTGGCCGGGTGTCGGCGCCCTTCCTGCAGTGTGCCGCCGTCTCTAGGATTTCCTTGTGTGTTCTGCCGCCTGTAGAATTTTCCTTGTAGTATTTGTTATTGGCACTGTGTTCTTGCAGAGAGCTACGGGGGAGACTTTATCTTTTACAGTGTGCCATAGTGTTGAACCCCTGATTGGTTGTAACTCTCTCCTGGGGCTCCACCCCTACAGGGTTCACCCCCACGCCACCCCCACGCCACCCCCCCCACACTCCTGGGGCTCCACCCCTACAGGGTTCACCCCAGCCACCCTCACGCCACCCCCCACACTCCTGGGGCTCCACCCCTACAGGGTTCACCCCAACCACCCCCAAGCCACCCCACACACTCCTGGGGCTCCACCCCTACAGGGTTCACCCCAGCCACCCCCACGCCACCCCACACACTCCTGGGGCTCCACCCCTACAGGGTTCACCCCAGCCACCCTCACGCCACCCCACACACTCCTGGGCTCCACCCCAGGTTCACCCCAGCCACCCCCACCCTCCCTCACACTCCTGGGCTCCACCCCTACAGGGTTCACCCCAGTCATCCCCACGCCACCCCACACACTCCTGGGGCTCCACCCCTACAGGGTTCACCCCAGCCACCCCCACGCCACCCCACACACTCCTGGGGCTCCACCCCAACAGGGTTCACCCCAGCCACCCCCACGCCACCCCACACACTCCTGGGGCTCCACCCCTACAGGGTTCACCCCAGCCACCCCCACGCCACCCCACACACTCCTGGGGCTCCACCCCAGGTTCACCCCAGCCACCCCACGCCACCCCACACACTCCTGGGGCTCCACCCCTACAGGGTTCACCCCAGCCACCCCCACGCCACCCCACACACTCCTGGGGCTCCACCCCAGGTTCACCCCAGCCACCCCCACGCCACCCCACACACTCCTGGGGCTCCACCCCTACAGGGTTCACCCCAGCCACCCCCAAGCCACCCCACTTACTCCTGGGGCTCCACCCCAGGTTCACCCCAGCCACCCCCACCGTCCCTCACACTCCTGGGCTCCACCCCAGGTTCACCCCAGCCACCCCCACCGTCCCTCACACTCC